GCCCCCCCCCCCGCCCCATCATTATTTATAGGAACCGGCAGAAGGGTGTGGGCGCTTTTTGGCGTGTTTAGTTCGTAGCCCACCGTCGATTCAACGTAGAGAAGTCAGAAGATCGCGCGTAGTCAAGGATTTATTTTCCTTTTGTACCTAAAGTCAGAGAAGATCAGGGCAATTTGAACTTAAAACCCAAGGTGAGGCGTGAATGTTCGGTTTTTTCCCCATTTGAAAATATGGCAAAAGATCGATTATCAAGGCGTTTGTTGCGAACACCCTGTTTATCGATATTTTTCCATATGTTTAAATCGCAGATAAATCGATTTTTCGCAAAGCACGTCACGCCACACGCCACTGCTGAAACCCCCAACACTATGAATATTTTTCCCTGAAATTTTCAGGAATTTTGGGTGAGATCGCGAACAGAATTATCCGAAAAATCGGAAGAAATATATTCCTAAGTTTACCGAGAAAGTCGTGTTTGATCAAAGGAAATTTGGCAACACCTGAAGGTTTATACGGCGTTTTGCCGGCTGCACTATAAAAACGCGCAAAGAGGGGAAAATTCAGAAAAAGGCAGTGTTAGAAAAGCGCGCAAACATCATATTAATCATAGTAAGGAAAGCGCGCAAGGAATTAGGCGTTGAAGTGCGTAAGTGTGAGTGTCTCATCTGATAGCCGCCCGACAGGATCCTGACATCCTGTGATACCGTGTAGGCAGTGGACAAAGTTCACGAATTTTGCAGCTTACTTGTTGCCGGACAAGTTTTCCTTACGTACTTTTTAGAGCTTGCGCGTTTCTCTGGTTTACCGGTTTTTCCCTAGCACGGCAGTATACGAACCACCCATTTCAACCAATAGGATCGCTCCATGCTCGCCATGTCTTCTTTCCCTGGTAAAAATTGGCGATAGGAGCTGCGTTTCAAAATACCATAGGAATTCTTATAGCCAGCTAAAGAAGGCAATAGAAAATCATATAGCTGGCTGTAGAAAGCGGAACAAATCATATAGCCGGGCTATAAGAAGCGATAAAAAAAGTATGCAGCCGGGCTGTAGCTCCTATCGCCGGGTTTTACACTTCATCGCCATCGGCTATAAAAGGCTATAAGAAATTGTGTAGAAGTTCGTGCGCTTTGGAAATCATTAAGTTTTATAACGGAACCGCCATAATATCTACAAAACACACATTATATTTTCCTTTAATACTTATTTTTTTTCATCAATTAAAATGAGAATAATCCATACAGGATGTGCAAACATTTTAAAATCATGGGTTGAAAAACGCTGACTCCGCGAGCTTATATAATGGAGCCTAACACAGAGCGGAGCGGCGCGGCGTGCTGCCAGAGTTAAGCGCGCGCTAGCGCCTACAAACCTAACAGGGATACTTCACGCATTGCGCAATGCTTGAAGTATCCCTGTTAGGTTTGTAGGCGCTAATGCGCTCTTCGCGCTGGCTACCCGCCCGCCGCGCCGCAGCGTGCCACGTCGCTTGAAGCAACTATTTCACACCAGAGGTATTGCACAGTATCATACGAAATTGAAAGCGCTCCAACATATTACGAATGGCAGGCATCCTTGAAAAGCTTTCCGCGCAAAATAAATCAAGATACTACGGCCCGAAAATAGAGCGGTAGTCCAAAAACTCAACAAGTCCTAGCATCCGTTTTAGTAACATTTAGCACACACTTTATCGCCTGGCTGTTGCTTAATCGCCATCGGCTATAAATGGCTATAAGAAATTGTGCATCTGGCTATAGAAGCTATTGAAAATCTTACAGCCGGCTTTAGGTCTATGGTATTTTGGAACACAGATTCTACTGCCAATTTTTACCAGGGTTGTCTAGCTTCGTCTATCAATTTCATTAATCAGCCCACTGGTGTTCGTGCGGTCCAAGGTCCCGGCTCATACAGTTATCCTATGCTCCTTGTAATTCTAGGTTTTGGTTTGTAATTTGAAATTGGTGTTTCAGGGTTGGGGAGCCATGACGGGGCATAACGTCTCGCACTACCCGTGGGGCCCGCCGGACGTGTGCGGGCCCGGTCTGATCCTCCCGCTGGTCGACGAGCGGCTCTGGAACCTCAAGTTCCGCGCCACCCTCTACTTCCTGGCCCTCCTCTACTGCTTCATCGGGGTCGCCATCGTCACTGACGTCTTCATGTCCGCCATCGAGATGATCACCAGCAAGACCCGCAAGGTCTACCTCTCCAAACTTGCCAAGGGCAAGAAGGTTAGTTCCTCCTATACTCAACCAGAGACAGGAGACCCTCTACTGGCCTCTTGGCGACAGGTGGAAGCTTTTACTTTTGGGGATTCAACAATTCCTTATGATAATTATACGGGAGCAACAGTCATCACCCTAACTTCGGCTGTTGACCTACCTATATGGTGGATGATGAGCTTTGGGTGATGTAATGAGCCAAACAAGTTTCCCAAACTTCGGCTTGTTTGCAAAACGAAACTGCCAACACGTTGTCAATCATCAACCATGTAGGTAAGTCAACAGTAGAATGCTCAAATCCCGAAAGTTAAAGCTTCCACCAGGGTTAAGATACTAGTGGAGGGTCTCTTGTCTCTGTACACAACGGAGAATTCATGCAAATTTTTTATCGCTTCATCTGAAAGTGCCCAGAGAGCTGATTTCACAGTATTTTTTATAATTTTTTTCTCATTTGGGAAATAGTATAAAAATAGATTTAAAAGTGAGAAAATGCACCGCCTAGTGACGTCATCTGGCGATATTTTTTATTTAAGCACACGTATTTTAGCAGATTAGATCATTCCTATTTTATTCAGGACATTTTCCGAGATTGACGCTCCTCCCTTCATTCCCAGATTTGGTCGGAATGGCATCCCTAACTTCATTAAAGGGATCACTGTGCTATGTCACGATGCTATAACACGTGTCCCTGAGCTGTGGCTAGATTGTTGAATCGTTATTGAATGCGACCTTGATCGATATATATCGTTGTTAAGATAGGGATTTATCGATCGATGTCGTTCGATATCGACGCAACAATCGACCCACTGGAATCGTGGGTCCGTTGAAGACGACTATAGACGAAATGGGATCGGGAACATTGTTGCAAGCCGTGCATCTTGGCTCATGGAACGGGAACTGGACTCGATAAACGCCGACTGCAGCGCCAAGAGACAACGAATCGCGAAATAACTCGACTCGAGAATAATGCACAGCAATTTTAACGCTCTAGTTGGTTCACGCAGACTCGCCTGCCAGGCTAATCACCGCTCAGCACTCAGCGTTGGGGATTTTTTCGAGAAAATCGATGAATCCAATGGATTCGATTTCGAGAATCCGCCCAGAATCCTCCTTTCGATCTAAATCTCGATCGAAATCCTTTCGATCTAAATCGTGAGGAAAATCGACTTCTCGAAATTCGATTTTAAAAAATCGGAAATTACGAAGGCTTAACATTTGCTCTTTACAAGATAAGAAAAAAAGGTGAAGTTTACTAAAATCTTGGTCCAAAACTTGGTTCATGCGCCAATTTAATACACAGGGCCGGATTTAGGGGGGGCCACATGGGCTGCAGCCCGTTGCAGCAGTTTTTGCAATTTTTTCAAGTGTAGGTATAAAAAAATTACAAACGAGAAAAGGCGACAAAATCTCTCATTTCCTCAGAGTATAGTAATTTCTAATTGTATCGTCTTTCGGTGATGCAAGAGACAGCACCTTTAATTATTCAAGTTAAGAGAAATTAAACACACAAGTTGGCCCGTAACGGCGGCGCGGCGCAGAAAGCAATGATGACGAGGACTTAGGATGAAAAGGAGAAGCTCTCGGCGCGGCGGTCGGCAAGTAACTCATTGTAGCGCCTACAAGACTGTATGAATACTACAAGCATTGCGTCAAACACATTGCGTTCAGCCTCAGCTCAGCAGCGGTCGGCGTGAAAGGCATAGCGCCTACGAGACTGCATGAATACTTCACGCTTTGCGCCAGAGTGCAATGAGCGCGGCGGCGGAAGTTAAAATTATTAAACCACATATGTTCGCTCTTTCATAATTTTTTCGTTCATTTCTTATAGATGGATGACCTTGTCCACACAGAGATAGGTTTACGGAACTTAACTTTCGCGCAAAGTTCCGTGAAATTTTGCTAGTAGTGCTGACAGGGCTTTCGCAAAAAATGTGTCCAACACGAGTAAACACGTCTTATTCACCCCCTCCCCCCACTCCGGCACGTTCACTTGATGGTTTTTATTGATGTTTCAAAGCGAATGAGAAGAAGGCGGCAAAATACAGACGGCCCATGGGCGGCAAGTAGGTAAATTCGGCCCTGTTAATACATTCGAGTAGCAAAAAATATGTCGTTTCGATTTTAAAGGAAGTGATCGAATTACTCGATTAATCGAATCCATTATAATCGATGCGATTTAATCGATTTTTTCGGTTTAAAATACGATTTTTCAGGAAAGTCTTTCAGCAGCGGTCGGCGTGAAACGCATAACGCCTACAAGACTGCATGAATACTTCACGCATTGCGTCAAACAGTGCGTGATGACACACAAAATGAAAAGGAAAAAAAGAAGAGGAAGAGGGATTGGACCTCTTGTCCCTATGTCCCGCAATTTTTTTCGTTTGTGTCTTTTCTCGTAAATTATCGAAGATGTATTATTATTATTTATAATAATTTAAAAATATTTAAAAATATATTATATATAAAAATATAATATATACTATTTATAATAATATATTTTATAAAACAACTCATTTGGTATGGTCATGTCCAGAGAATGGCAGGAGACAGGTTGCCGAAGATCCTTGATTGGCGCCCTCCTGAGAGAAGGCGCAGAGGGCGCCCAATGAAAGGTTGGAGGAAGGGGATTGAAGCGGAATTGTTAAGGTGCTCGATGCCCCAAGATTTGTGGTTCGAAAGAGAGCAGTATGGAGGTTAGGAGTCGTAGAGCGCGAGGGAGTGCTGTAAAGCTACTTGTATGTATGTATTATTATTATTTTTTTAATTTCTTGTTATTTTGACTTTTGATGAGCAGCAGAACGGGAGCTACAACGCGGTGGAGGACGGTCCGCAGCCGGAGACGAACCTGAAGGAAGACGAGCCGGAGGTGATCGAAGTGCGGGTGTGGAACGACACGGTGGCCAACCTGACGCTCATGGCGCTAGGGACCTCGGCACCCGAGATCCTCATCTCCGTCGTCGAGATCGTCGGCCACCACTTCGAGTCCGGGAAGTTGGGGCCGGGAACCATCGTCGGGTCCGCAGCCTTCAACCTCCTCATCATCACCAGCGTCTGCATGCTCGCTCTCCCCGCCGGGGACATCCGCAGGATCCAGAGGTTCAAGGTGAGGACATGCACTGGAAAAAAAAAACACATTGTATATAGAGTCCAGACTCTAAAAAACTTTCACTTATAGTGCTAAAAATTTCGAATAATCACCTAATTTGAAAATTCAGAAAATTCAATTTTTAGGGGCCACATTGGCGCAGAGCCTTCATTTTTTAGGCGTCATGGCCGATTTTTTAGGCGCATTTGGCGCGTAGGCGCCTGTGAGTTTCGGACACTGGAACCAAGGGTATCCTCGTGTTCAGTTCACTCAGTAGTTTTGACTCAAACACGAAATTCATAATATTTCAGACACCCGCAAATTCTCTATTCTCACTGGAAAAAAACACATTGGATCTTGAGTCCAGACTCTTAAAAACATCGATTAGAAAAAATACCCTTGATTCAATCAGATTTGAGCTTAAATCAAGAACCAAGCCTCTTAATTTGAGCGGATTTCCTTTTGATTTAAGCTTAAATCTGATTGAATCGAGAGTCCTTTTTCTTGTCAATGTTTTCAAGAGTCTGGACTCTAGATCCAATGTGTTTCTTTTTTCCAGTGTGGTATCTAGAACCGAGAAAAACCGGGAAACTGATATTCTCCAGGGGAAGTTTCGGAAAAATCAGGGAATCTATTCCAGATAGGTTCAGGGATCGGAGAATCTGCTTGCAAATTTTTTATCCCTTCATCTAAGGGTGCCTGGAGAGCTGATTCCACAGTATTTTTTGGGCTTTGGGCTTTTCTGAATGAGGGGCCTGGAGGACAAGTTGCATGAGTGCAGTTTTTGAAAAAATTGAGTTGTCAATTATTTCAAGTAAAACTAGTTTTAATGCATACTCTGTGAAAAATTCGCTCCCAAATTCCAATTTTTAAGCATCATGAAGTCAGTTTAAACCACCATAAGGATCCATGAAATTTCGGAACATCAAGCACGTATTTCTCGAAATAGCAAAAACTGCACTCATGCGCCTTGTCTTCCGAGCCCCTCAAATGGGAAATAGTATATAAAGAGATTTGATGATTGAGTTAAAAATTCGAATTTGCGCCGAAGAATCGGCTGAAAGATGAGAAAATAAATCGATATTCATGTCTGGAACTCCAGAGAATCATACATGTACTATAGTTTTTCTCTATTAAAATCCTGAGGAAGTGGGAAGAAACTCCGGTTTTCTCTCAGGGAACGAGCCCCTAGATATCAGAAAAAATTGAGAAACAGGGGAAAATCACGGAAGCAAGGTAAAAAACTAACATGTAAAACAATTGGACGACGTTCCGACGACCTATTACTCTGTCAATCAATCAATCGCATTGATCATTGCAATTAAATCATATCACTATGTAATTGCCGAGATTTTTAAACATATTTTTAATTTTAGTTTTAATTTTTTTTCTATTCTTTCAGCAGTTGATAATGACACTGTAAGGTCGGCGAAACGTCTATTTAATCAAAAGTTAATAATTTGAATTGTCAATACATGTAAAATAGTCCAACTGTATATGTTACTCATGTTCCAGGTGTTTTTTGTAACTCTCCTCTTCAGTTTCTTCGCGTACATTTGGTTGCTGATCATTCTGCGATTCATCTCGCCGAATGTTGTTGAATTATGGGAGGCTGCTGTGACAATGATCCTCTTCCCAGTTCTGACGATTTTTGCCTTCTTTGCCGATAAAGGTTGGTGCGGTCTGGGCATGATCCGCCCTGGACGCAGTAAACGGCAGCTTGAACTGGGCCCAATGAAGGATGAAAGAGGTGTGTACAATCATTCCAAATAAAAGACTAGGGGCTAATGTTTTAGTTACCACAAGGTAGTAAGTTACCATTGCATCTTGCTTTTTAGTTAGAGTGTGCTACCGAAGAGTATCAGAGACTTTCTTTTCTTTTCTGTGTGGGAGGTTTTGCGTTATGGGTGCAAGACTCTACGTAAAATGTGAGTACATGAAAAATAAATAACAAACGAAAACTCATTTAACTGCAATAGCCCTAACTACATCTTTTGAAATGTTCGTTACCTTGTGTTGTAAGTAAATGATGTCTTGAATTTATCTCTAATTCTTGATAGGTTGCCTCAATGAAAATCCAAACAGGTCATTTTTTTAGCCTCATTCTGAGTATAGGACTCTGCTTGTTTACCTCCGCTTTTTGTTTCTAGCTTCCCAGTGTACTTGCCTAGATTGTCATAGAAATGACTTGCCGTAAAATGATTTAAAATGAAAGTTGTTGAATCCAGGACGCTGGTACTTAACTTTTCTAAAAATCAAATTCTTGTACTTTGCGTACTTTCATGCACTTAGTTGACGGTTTGAGATTGATGAAAATGAAGTAAAAATTCACGTTTTTTGATTATTCACTCCCATTTTTCATCCTGATCCTCTCCCGAGCTCACAGTATTCAACCTCAGTGAGCTCTTAGTCCAAAACAACATCTTTAATGAGCACTTAGTTCAAGAAAAATTTATATTTTGTATGACTTAATCACACATTTTAGATTTCCAAAGAACTCAGTAGGTAAGTCTGTTTCTTAAGTGTTCTGTTGTTATTTTGAAGAGAAAATCCTATGTCCCTGGAAAAATAATTATCAATACTACAAGTGAAATAATGTATGTTGTTACAGTTGGAAGTAAAGCCCAAGAATGTGCGAGTGAATTTTTCAGAGAAGGAAAATTGGACAGAGAAAATTTAGTGAAATTCGTCAAGGAAGTTAAAAAATATCCTGGCCTAACAGATGAAGATGCTGCTGTTTTAGCCGCTGCCAAGTATGTTTCCTTTATTTTTAATATTTTTAGTACTGATGTACATATTACAAACATTTTTCAAGGGTGTCATGGGAAAATATAATCCCATAACAGTTGTTTTTTTTTCAAATCTGTCCTCTATTTTCGGCTCAAGAGAAAAACTCCAGTGAAATGTCATTGAATGACAAAAATAATCGTATGGTGGCTCTGAGCGTATTTCACATTTGAAGAATTGCCAACTTTCACGTTTTGTAGCATTTTTATTTTCCATTTCAAAGTTTGACTATGAATTAGACACAATTCGGTTGTTTTGTATTTGATAGGATCATCGATTGGACAAGTTGTGAGCTGACCTGATGTCTTGTTTGCTAACAATTATTGATTAAATCCAAATTGTTTGGGCCAATACTTGAAAAAGTGAGTCTAATACCTTTAGGAATAGTACAATCTAGTAAAGTCGATTCATTTTTATTTCCAAAATTTTGCACACCTCAGATACTCTGTGAGTGCTCTTTTAAATAAAAAAAGCAAGAAGTCTTGTCTCTTGGAAGACAAGAAATTTAAAATTTTATTCTGTATGTAACTCTAGTACACTGTTAGAACAAAGAAACCCATTAAGTTGTATATACTCAAAATAATGTTTGTTATCATACAGGATGGTGAATGCGCAGCACCACACTGCAATGTGGTATCGAATTGGAGCTGTTCGCTCCATATCAGGAGGCCGGCGAATGGAACCAGTTTTAAATGACAAATTGAAACAGGTATAATAAATTCATTAGTTTGATTTGATCTTTCACTCTGGAGTTTTATTTTTTAATTTTTTAGTTCTATTTTTTAATTTATTTTTGTTCTTTTTAAATTTATCCACTTATTCTGAATGAACTACGCAACATTAAGAGATTAAGTTATGGAAGAAAACTTTGTTTCATCATTAAAAATAAATGATAACAATTATGAAACAGTAGCCTTTACCATGATTTGTTTTGTTGTATTATCACAATATCATGGCTGAAAATTTGAAAAAAAATTGTAAGTTAAAAATGAAGTAGACTTCAAACAAATTTTTATCCCACATTCATGTCAAGATTACAGAGATTGGAGCGCCACGAAGCTGGGAAGAAAAACACTCCTTTTTCAATGATAACAGCTCCAACTAGCTTCTGTATTTCAAACCCTTCAGCAATGCTAGGGCGCTATTTGTCAACCTAATTGTAACATGCCAAATATTAAAATTGATAAAAGATGGAGCTTTTTTGGAAGTATTTTTTTCTGGGCCATGGGAGAGCTAAACCTGGGAAGCAACTAAAATAATAAATTGTATAGTTGGAAAACATGCTGTCCAATTTTTATGAAAAGTGGCCAACTTGAGTGATTTAATTTGATACCTAGCATGCATAGTTTCCAACGCAACAGAGCAGATGCAGTCAAAGCCTAGAATCACTTTCTTGTAGGAGAATGGTGATAAGAATAGTCAAGTTGATTGAAAATGGTCGAGAAAAGAGTTTCAGAAAAAAGATGGTGAGTTTTTTTCCAACTTAGTGACTCCATTGTCAGCCCACAATGAGTAGGCTGTATGTAATTGTTTTTTTTTTAATGAAGGTATTCTTTCCTCATCCAGGTTTACGAAATTATGAACAGCCATCCTGAAACCCCAACTGTTGGTGAAGCACCACCTCTACCAGATTTAGATACACACTCCGTCATTGAATTCCATGCAGCGACTGTCGCAGTAAGAGAAAACATTGGTAAATTTAATGTCACTCTTTGGCGTCACGGTAATCTGGAACCCCAAGTTAGAGTGAGGTAAGTTTTGTGTAACTAATGTCACAATAATCAGCTAATTATACTAAGTTTTTATTGACTAAAGACAGACTTAGTAATCGATTACATGCCTATAATCAAACTTAAAATCACAGCTGATGTATTCAGATGTAACACATATCTCTCAAAATTTTAACAGAAATGAATTCATTACACTCCTATCGTTTGAAATTTGCTCATTACTTTTGTCACTTCCAAGGTAATGTTCTTAGAATCAAGATTCAGCCTTTTTCCATGGCGTCCATATCATTCTAATTCAATACTTTTTCTCTATTTTTCCTAGATTCAGTACCGAGGTTAAATGTTTTCCTACAAAAATATTCAAAGAAATTTCAGTGATGAAACTCTTACACTCATCTGTTTCATCTGTTATTTGACACTTTTGTATATTATTATATCTATTTTTAGAGTTGAAACAATAGATGGAACAGCACGCCGAGGGGAAGATTATGTTGCTTTAAGAGAAATTGTTACGTTTGAACCTGGAGAGAAGGAAAAACAGGTGTGTATTTTATTTTTAATAGTTTTTGAGCCAGAGTAATTTTTTCCCTTGAATATCATGTTTTTTAAAACTGATCTGATGTTTTTCATACCAAGTATTACATTCATCTTCCTGAACTTGAAAAAAATAAATGTCAGCCTCTCAGAAAGAAGAAGAAGAGAGAAAGAAGTGATCGATTATCAGCGAATTCATATGCAAATATATACTTTTTACCATACATATTGATGGTGAAACTTCCAAACTACGAATCTTGGTGTGGGACATTGCAGACTTCCTGTCATACTTTATTTGTTGAGTAGAAAACTATTCAAAGTCAATATGTATTTGAAAACTTCCCTTGATTTTTCTTTCTCGTGCTAAGAAAATTCTGTGAAAACTTCAAGGAATGATGATGATTTGTTCTCTTTCAAAAAAATAAAATGGGAGTGGGTATTTTAACAGACTGCCATAGAGTACATAGAGTCGTAATGTAAATGGGAGAGCTGGCGCCATGTTCTGCTCAACGAATTCCGAGCCCGGTGTGCGCCGAGTTCGGGTCGCTTTTTCGATACATTTTCGATCCAAAATGGCGGTGTGGAATATGTGGTAATTCCTATCTCCTTTGTTGTTGTTGTTGTCATCGGATGGCCGGGTACCCATGTATCGCAAACAATCGATTGTGTATCGAAAAAGTGACCCGGCGTCACACAGGAGTCTCAGAATTCGGGACATGGAAAATGCTTAAAAGTGGCGCCAGCTCTCCCACTTACATTACGACTCTATGTACTCTATGCAGACTGCAAACCAGATAAATGGTTTGGGAGTTTCACTGTCAATATACTATTATGAAACTGAGTATTCAGCACAGTATCTGCCATTAGTTTCAGAAATTTTACCTGGTGCTAGAAGTACTCTTAGATGAATTTTATATTTAAGGTATTTATCATATGATATGTTTGATACCTTATTTCAGGTTACCGTTGAAATCATTGATGATAACAAATGGGAGCCAAATGAAGAATTTTTCCTTAGACTGACTTTGATCAATGTTCGGAAACAGCCTATCAAACTTGGACGAATCTCCATTATGGAAGTTACAATTATTGACGATGACAGTAAGTTTTTAATCGATTAAAGAGGAAATCTCTTCAAATCATCAAGAGCTATTTTATTTACAATCCTACCCATGTTGTCCGTAAAACAAATTTATCTCCAAAAAAAATGCTTCATCAAAAATTCTCAGAAGATATCTTAGTTTGATGGTAAGAATTTGGAAAGGTTCTTCCGTAAGGGAAATTTTATTTTCATCACATTGGCCGTATCATTCAAATTTTTTCATCAGGCAGTTCGTTGTTCCTACTTTTCATTTTTGATTTTTTCAAGGAAAATAATCGTAAAAATATTGCTTGTCCAATTGTGAAATTAATGTACACAAGTTGGCAATCATACAACCTCTTTCATGAGTTGAGTTTTTAATGAAATTATTTTCTTTCAGAGCCTGGTGTTTTGTCTTTTGCAAAAAGAGGATTTGTTGTAAAAGAGAGCGCAGGTGTTGTTCAGATCCCGGTACGCAGGAATTGTGGTGCTGACGGAGATATCAGTGTGAAGTACAGAACCATTGACAAATCTGCAATTTCTGGAAGAGACTACAAGGGAGGAGAGGGCGAAATCACATTCAAAAACCGAGAAGTACGTATTTGTTCTTCCATGTTATTACCATTCGCTGAATCTTCCAACCAGAACCTTAGATCCTTTTCTGTGCCGATGAAAATTTTTAATCTTCACGTATGTATTTATTTGCTTCAAGCAAATCGTGATTTAAAAAAGTACCTTCAGTTTACACCTGCAAGGCATGAAACCTTGTACGTTTTATATTCGAGTTTTTGAGTTCAAAATGACTGGTGAGATAATTTCTTATCTTCATCAGCTTTTACTTTTATATTCTGCCCACCGGAACATTTTCAAAAGAGTGATCGGTGCTAATATTTGGTAACTTTAAGTTAATATAGTTAGTCACTTGAATGCAATACTATGAACTGTAGGTTTTCCTTATTTATGGATTATCTTCAAACTCTTCTCAACTGACTGAAGTTTTGATTTTTTATTCAGGTGGAGCGAATCTTGGAAATTCCTATCATTGATGATATGGACCCAGAAAAGGATGAGTGCTTCGAAATTGAATTATTCGATCCTTCAGGAGGAGCCAGAATTGGAAATATTAATCGAGTGGCAGTTACTATAACTAATGATGATGGTAAAGAGGAATCTCACATTCTTTAATTTTTTTCCTCTTATTTATTCATAGCTCTTATCTGCATTTGAACCCTCAAGTACGCTGTTCCTACTCATAGTAAATCAATCAATTTTTACAGCCAAGGATGTAGTACAACAGTTTGTCACATTTTCCCTCAAAAATTGTTCCAAAGTATACATGTACACATTTAAGAAGTTTACACAGAGGCATCATTTTTAAAAAAATTTAAACTTTACCTTTCCTTTCCGTGATTGTTCTCCTATATATTTATCTCTTCAAAATTTTAGATTTCAACACTGTTATGGATAGACTGATGGTTTTAACGAATACAAATCTGGATGCCGTTCGTATTCATACGGAAACTTGGGGAGAGCAAATCAAAACGGCCATGACTGTGAACGGAGGTGACATTCCTAACGCTACTGCATTTGATTATGTCATGCATTTCCTGTCCTTCTTTTGGAAGGTATGTAATTGAAAGACTTAACTAATCAAATGTTCTGAGTTTATTAAATTTTACATTGTTGATCCAGTTTTCTCATCAGAATGGACCGCTAGGCAAGGTATGAGTTAAAGTACTATGTATCATGATTCCTCTTAAAAATTTCACAAGGAAAATAAATCACACCACTAAAAGTCTGGGAGTGAACTCCGAAACAAGATAAAGGTATTTACAATCAAAATTGGTCAAAAGGCAAAAATACAAATTTTGGCATTTGTGTATTTGACTATTAACACGAGATTATAAACTTTGAAAATGTAAATTGACAAAAAATGAGTTGTATCAAAAACTCTAACTTTCTAATTACCTGGTTTTAACAAAGAGGACAAATGTGTCTCCTTAGTTGGCATTTATGTAATTTAACTTCCATTTGGACTACATTTTGCAATTAGGAACTGCAAATTCTCACTCAGTTTACATAGAACGCGTGTACCATCAGTTCCTCCAATCACATTAGTGTTTTTACGGATGAGCCAGAAATTTTAGTTCTTAATTGCAAAATACAGTGCATTTGATCAGTGTGAAAAATATGTGTTAATATATCATTCAGGAGTTGGTTTCTTAATTTTCCGTTGGGTGAAACGTTTTTTGCGTAAGATTTTAAAAAGACAAATCATGTGACATTTTTTATTAGTTCAGACCTTGTCCAGTCGCCCACTCAACAATGATAGACACTATAATTCTTGTGTCGGTGTGGCAAGTTATAATTTTTACTCAATTTTTCAGGTGTTCTTTGCTCTTATCCCTCCACCAGGCATTTTCGGAGGATGGTTGTGCTTCTTTGTTTCCTTATTTGGAATTGGTATCTTATCAGCTATTATTGGAGACTTAGCTACAATATTTGGATGTCTAGTAGGACTAGATGATACGATAACAGGTATGTTCTGAAAAATTTTCATTCATACGAAAATAGGCTCTACAAATTGAACATGCTTACTCTTCGACCTAGAACTTCTTCACCTTTATAAACAAGAACTCTGATACACTGTAATAAAAAAACAGCGCCGAAATCAAGCCCAAGCCAATGATTTGAATCTTCCTGTTCTACAGTTTTTTGTGATTGAAGTTGATATTTCAAAAGTTGGCTGCTCTCAGTCGCCCTGATTTTGTAATTCTCTTTACAAAAACTTCTACCTACTTTTGAAGCCATTTGGTTAAAAATCCTCTTGCTTTTGGGACCAATGGAGAATTTGCATGCAAATTTTTTATTGCTTCATCTGAAAGTGCTTGAAAAATTGATTTCATAGTATTTTTTATAATTTTTTTCTGATATGGGAAATAGTATAAAAATAGATCTAAAAGTGAGAAAATGCACCGTCAAGTGACATCATCTGGCGGCATTTCCCATTTAAACACATGTATTTTAGCAGATTAGATAATTTTGTCACATCTTCTCCAATAATTGTTCAATTCATGAACCAAGGGTATCCTCATATTCAGTTCACTCAGTAGTTTCCGTTTAAGCACGTAATTCATCAAATTTCAGACACCTGAAAATTCTCTATTTGGCATAAGTTTTTGCCTTTTTCATAGCTCAAGTTTTTAAATTATTGCATAATCATGAGACCAAGTTATTTTTTCTTGCTCTTTCAGCAATCACTGTTGTCGCTTTGTTCACGGCACTCCCTGATCTCCTCGCCAGTAGATTAGTGACAATTTATGAGAAGTTTGCTGACGGAGCTTTGATACACATCACAGGCAGTATTGCTGTCAATGTTTTGATGGGTGTAGGCATGCCTTGGTTTGTTGCTGCCGGCTACCATTCATACCACGTAAGTTATATCTTTACACAAAAGATATCTGTATTTATAAAAAGAACTGAGAAACTTTTAACATTTTCTAGTCTTGAGATTCAGTCTTTACATATTGGGAGGCAGATTCTTCAAGTTTCGGAATTCAAGCCGAGAGCAGTGCTGCCATGCTAAGGAAAAGCGCCGTATGAACCTTCAGGCGTTGCCAAATTTCCTTTGATAAAACGCGAATTTCCTGGTAAACTTATGAAAATTTTCCTCCCAATTTTTCAGGTAATTTTTTTCTGAAAATATAAAGGAAAAATATTCATAACTTTCCTCAAAAATAAACATTTCTTCGAAGGAAATTTGGCAATTCTCAAATGTTCTTACGGCGTTCTTCCTTAGTTCGGCAGAGCGATGGTTTGCACTAGCACAGTGAGCGGTGCCATCAACACTACTCAAGGGCACTAAGCTTGTTGAAATTGGGTGAAGAAACTTTACATACAGATAAGTCTCATTATTTTTCACTGACCAGTAAGATTCTACCATCAATAATGGTTTTTTTTAGAGATCAATGCCTCTGGAGCCCGTTGTCAATCACACTGACCCCGAGGAACATGTTGAAATAACTTCTAAAAACTTGTGAAAGAGAATTTTAGGCTATTTTCCCATTCATCAGCTTGTCGATTTTAAAAACTTCATTTTGACTTGTTTGAGAATGCCTGAGAACGCATAGCAGACTTAGTGTAAACTAGGGGGCTACGCCCCTGAAGGCGCTCCGCGCCATCAATGGGCCGCTTCGCGGCCCTATTTTTACCCTCCTATCGGTATTAGTTTTATTTTTTCCCCTAAAAAATTACGATATAAGGTATACTTTACTTTTAGAATGAAATAATTTTTGGTTTTGATGAATAAAGAAACAAAATCATTTTTTTGAAGTCTAAAGGACGCGTTTTGGAATGACTACTTGATGAAATATTGCAGTAAAACAACGAACATTGATAATCAGGTAATTATTAAGAGATTCGGGAGACGGGGATCGAACCCACACCATAATTCAAGTGGACGCTTCCGACGTCTTTGACGACTCGGCCACCGCTCTACCTGAGGCAGATGGGGCGAATCTTGTGTAGATAAGTGTAGAGCTGATGCGCAGGCTACACAGCTACTGCGCAACCTCCTCGACCACCGCGCATCCTCCCGCGCATAGCGGTAGCAGTCTCGGAGCATTCTGAAAATTCACTCACTTTTATAACGTGATTGTAAAAAAACCTGGGTCCTATTTCCAAAATCTGAATAGAGCGGGCTCATCTAGGGTCAATTACCCGTCGATTACCGCAAAAAACTTAGAAATCGGCCCGGTAGAACGCTCAAACGAACTATGACAAAAAATATAAATTTACATTGTTTAAATGGGAGAATTCGCAACTTTACCACTTAATATAAAAAAACCTAGGCCATATTTTGAAAATCTGAAAAGAGTTGGCTTCTCTAGAGACAATTGCCCGTCGATAGCCGCAAAAATCATAAAAATCGGCCCGGTAGAACGCTGGAACTAAGCGTTACCAGTTTCGCAAAATTAGGAGGCTTGAGAGCTTATAGTATAGATATAGGGAATGGAACCGAATTCAAGAAAAGTAAATTTTGACATCATATATTTTTTTATTCTTTCGCAGGACTCGCAATTCAAGGTACCAGCAGGGGCTCTCGGATTCAGTGTTCTGTTGTTCTCAATTGCTTTTGTTCTGGCAGTGGCGCTCCTACTCATCAGGCGTAGACTGCCTGCATTTGGTCTGGCTGAAATCGGTGGACCCAAGATTGGAAGAGTTGCATCTGTCGTATTCTTAGTCACTCTGTGGATTCTATATATTCTCTTCACATGTCTCCAAATATCTGGAGTGATCAAAGCTGACTTTTAAGTTCTCAAAATGTTTATGATCATTATTTATGGTACAAAATTGTATCATTTAAAACATCAAGTTATAAGTTGTGCTGACGTAAATGTATTCTGACTAATTTTGATTTCTGTAGCCCATCAATCTCTTAGGAGTAAAATGTAAAGTCTTGATGAATTAAAATCTCTTTATCTGCCATTATGTTTCGGCAGAAGTACTTAGACATGGAAGTCACTCTCCAGAAATGAATGAAAATAAGGGTTATGGTTATAATGACTGACTACCTGACTTATTCAAAATTCATGGTTTTGATTAATTACATCAAAATCATTCTGAACTGGGATAATCACTTGAAGCTCTACGCAAATTTTTGCTATGACATAAAAGTCCTACTGTAAATAAACATTTCAATGCACAATTACTAAGATTCATTCTCTGCCAAATGGTTTTCTTATTTTTGTCATCAAATAAATTTCAAATTCGGAGGCATTGTTTTATTATTTTTTTTTAATTACGAAAATTTTATTTTCATCTAATCCTTCACAACTCCTCAAATCTTTTTAAAGTGCTCCAACTAATTTGTCACTGCCTTTTTTCTTATTTTAGGCCCTGTCAGTTTGATATGAGCTACAATCCACACTTATCGATGGTGAAACTACCAGACTATGTATATCATTTGCGGTGTTTAAAAACCTCCGCTCTCATTTTACTCTCTTGTGAAGGAGAACAAACCAATATCATTCCTTAAATTTTTCCCAGATTTTTCTTCACACAGAGAAGAAAAATTACGAAAGTTGTCAAGAATTGACTTTGAGTAGTTTTCTGTCAAAAAAATAAAGTATGACAGGAAGTCTGTGACATCGCAAACCGATATACGTTGTCTGGAAGTTTCATCATCAGTATGTGACTTCATGGTTGCTTAAACCAGTTTTACGATTAACTGAGAGTACCTAAATATCGAAAACATAAATAATTATAAATTGATACATTCTCATCCAAAATTGGCCCGCCAGTAGATGCTTTTCACCTCACTCTAATAAACAGTGAATAGGGAATAGTGTAATAAACTTAGAGCATTTAAGCTCATATCTATCCTCAATTAATTTATTTGTAAATAAAATTAGATTACGGATGAAGCTATGTAAAGAAACTAATATTTATTTTGTTTAAGTTATGAAATTTGTTGGAGTTTTATTTTTTTACTCTTTTGTACTTTTTTGATACAAGTGTTTTGTATGAAAAATTGTGAATAAAAACTTACCTCACATAACCTCATGTACAAATTTTTTGTGAGTCAATTGTGTTAATTCATTACAATTCAGTCATTGACAAGTCATACTTAAGTCAATAGCAGACTCATTCAACACGAGATTTGTAATAGATAATATGGTTTGGTTTCCTTTTACTGAATGCTGCCTGAACGGGTCATACAGAATTCATGATAAAAATTTGACGGAGAGGTAGGAAGCCAAAATCAGAGAGAAAGGATTCAACAGAAGTTACCCTTTTATTATGAAAATCACGGTATAATCCTCCCAGAGAGACATAGTGAGGACGATACTTATTGATGTGTAGTGTGAAGCATAAGTACCGCCCTCTTGAAAAGACACATTGTATGCACCTAACTCCAAACAATGGGCTCTAAATTTTCTTTTCTTTTCTTTAGGAGGAATTTTCTATTAAGACATAAAGCAAAAGTCAAATATTTAACCCATCAAAACTAAATAACAATGCGTTGACTAGTTAAAATGTAGAGAGGGTGGGGAGGAGGGATGAGGACTTATTTGAACTGTATTTTAAACGAGATATTCCTGTGAGTTCTTGTAATTCTTGGAAAATCTAACACTGTGGAGGCCACCTATGGGTCGTTTTTAGCTAAGGGGCTAAAAGTTTTGTCGCCACTTTTTTTTATCATCATATTTATTTGTTTTTTCCTTGAAAGGGTCGACTAACAGGGTTGGCCCAAACAACATATAAATGGAAAAACATAGTTGAGTTCAATGTTGATATGTGCAGCAAGCTATTTTCAAGATATACATTGGTTTCAGAAGGACTTTAATGCAAACATATGTGCTCCCTGTCATTTGGGCGACAAACTTCACTTTCTGAGATTTTCACTTTACCTCCGATGATAAGGAATTCCATATTGTGAAATTGAGCTGAAAGGCATCAGTATGGGCTCTTGAAAGTTAAAGTCATAGTTCAATGTTATAACATTCTCCCAGAAGGTTCAATGTTCTTACCCCTTGCTTGGTTCAAAGTCTTCGTCAGTACCCTAGATTATCAGAGGATAGACTTAAAGCCTACATTTTTGAGAGAGGGGACAGCCTGAAGGTTTGGACACTTTTTGGGTCTCTGGCAAAACCTAGAATCTATACGGCTCCACAGTTTGACTAAAAACTGAGTAAAAATAAACTAAGGAAAAAGAGAATATATGTTTATTTTTTCATCCTTTGATCTCTTCATAAGTCTATAAGTAAGAAAAGAAAAATTGAACACAGATTCTGGAGGATAATGATAGCACCCATTTATTCTCTTGCAAAAAATCAATCACGAAAAATACAGGCTGAGAGAAGATCATAAAATGAAGTAAAAATCTAGGAAAAAAGGCTCTTTCAATAAAAAGATAAGACCAGTCTTGGAATTAACATTGATTGAGACTAACACTTAACAAAGAGACAATCGTTTTTGCCTTTAACAAATCTAAACTGCCCTTTAATAACAGGAGTAATCTGGAGGAACGTAATTGAAAATAAAGAAAAACAAGAAACTGAACAAAAGAAGCAAGAGAGATAGGCAGGTCGATGACACCCAGAGATCAGATAAACAGGTCGCTATCATACCCCACCATCAAGAGTTCTTCCCCGTGTTTCTGGTGGGTATAGGGCAAGGTGGAAAGACAATTTTAACAAATGCTAAACCATTGGCATTGGTCTTCTTCGACCCGGGAAATAGGACTATAATTAGCCCATTCTCCTTAGTACTATTTTTGATTTGTTTACACCAGTCATCAATCTCCTCGGCTACATCACTGGCTTTTTCTGGATTGATGGTGATGTGCGACACATTGAAAAAATACTTTTCTGCCAAAGAGCACGTTTTCACAACTGTTTCTTCATTACCGCTGGTGACGATTCTCCCCATTTTGGAGCTGTCTTCTTTAGGCAAGTAACTGGAGTACTGATCCATGATGTCTTGACAACCAATCACAGCCGCTGTGAAAAATAGAAAGAAGTTAAGAGGTTTACACAAAAATGAAAGGAAAACATGAGTCCCTATCGTCACCATGTAAAATTTACCGCTGATAATGTACACTTTTCTCAGGATTTACTGAGTGTATTTTCAAACACGTTTTTGTTCAATTCCTTAAAACTGTTTCTAGTTTGAGACAAAAAGACTATTAACAATTCTGAAAATTGAAATTTTCATGAGTTTTTTTTTTAAAAAAAATAAAGTTTTTGAAGCAAATAAGGCGTGTGTCCTATAATGCCATTAGGCTGTTTAACAACCTTTCCTTAAACTTAAGTAGGTTATTGAAAAGCATGGAGGTCGGAGCTTTTCGAAAAGACGAAAAAACCTTACTAGTTGATGAGGCGTATTATACTTCAAATGATTTTTTAATGATTCTTAATGTGCTTTTGGGGGGCCCATCAACAAGTATGATGAGTTACAATATGTGTCACTTATTCGCTCAATTGCAAATAAAATAAATAAATAAAGAAAATATGAAGTTCGGAGGAGGTGTGAAGAATTTTCAGGAAAAATTATTTTGTTTTTACCACTGAAAAATGGTTAAAAAAAATTGCGAGAAAAGGCCAGTGTTTCAAAACTTTATGCATCCCTACTAGATATTACCATATTTTTTATCCCCTCTAACTGTAGTAAATGAGGATTGTGATTACCTGTTTTTTTGTCAAGGATGGTATGCCGGAAAAGACTAGAGATTCTATGGGTGTTCCTCTGCCAGTACTGCAGGAGGATTTCAGATTCACTTTGATCAGATTTGACACGTGTAATGTTCTTGCCTTGCTCTTCATCTATCTTACACTTGATCTCTGAAAGTTCTGCGACAACATTCGTAACAGCATCACCAAAATCAATGCCTGCAGAAAATAATGAAGCAAGAAAACATATTATTATGAATTCAGTTTTGCGTTTTGGAAGAAGGGGAATAAGCAAAAAATAAAAATGCTTGATGGATAGGAAATTGAAAGCTATTGGTGTCGTTTCTCGAATGTTGATGCGTAAAAGCAAATTATATTATTTGGACACTCCACTCATGGATCAAATTCTGTCCCTATAAATTCTTCGAATTTTCAAAGGATGTTGATCATGTAAACTCTAATATACTTGATGAGCATTACATTGAACTGAAAAGAAAAGCTTATGTCGACTCCTCAAGTTTTGTTTCAAAATAAGATGGAGAGTAAAGTAGAAAAAATAACAGGTTAAAAGTATTGGATAACATACAGTCATACATTTCTGAATACCTATTACAATTTGTCAACATGATAGGAATGTCGAAATATATGACCGATTCGACAAAAATTTCAAAAGTACATGTATGCAACATTCCGATCTGAAACTCTTTGAGTACCTAAATTTTTTGTTACCAATGGAAAACTCACATAAACTTTTGAGGCATTATGTTATTTGGTGTTCTGTTAAAATAAAGCATAAGAGGAAATTTGGCGATGAGATCTGCGGTAAGGCTAATCCTGGTTCAACTGGACTACATTTTGCAATTAGAAACTACAAATTCTGGTTCATAGATAATAACACTTATCTGCATAAGAAGACTAATGCCACGTGCATTGTTTCTAAAAGGAGTCAGACATTGTAATTCCCTATCGCAAAATGTAGTTCAGTTAGGTAGTTTTTCTGTTTAGGAGGAAAATGCTTCCGAGGAAGCTAAAATGAAACTTACAAGTGATGAAAAACTTACTATTCATCAGCTTGAGCTGTACTAATTTTAAAGATGCTAAACTGTCTTCCACAGAGTCGTGTCCAGCATCGCCAGATTGAATTTCCATATTAAGAAACTCAGATGCTAACTTTGACAGCTTGGGTTTATGGCGGCGCACACCAGAAAGGTTGAAGATAACACTGGTGTCTATTACATAGGGATGCATCATCTGAGAAAAAAATCACACCTCAAAACGTCAAAGCATATGAGATTGAAAGAAAAAAATTTGTAAGTTTCCTTTTCTTTTCTCTAGGAATTTCTATCTACTCAGAGAAATTTTTTTGAGAGCTTACAAAAATACTTACAATACAAAATTATCTTAGTAAGCAGCCGTCTGCAGGGTGAGTATAATATGTAGATAGCCCTGATAAAGAACGGGGCTGTTTCACAAATTTTTGAAAATTCATTTTGGGGAAGTACGTAAAAAATGAGGATACTTGCATTTTAGATAAAATTTCAGCTGAATTCAAGACTTTCAAAGTCACCAAAAGTTCAACCCCATTTCAAACAGAAAAATATTGCAGAAACAGATTCTGTACCGTCACAAGAAGAGGTGATCGCTTTGTAACCTTTCACTTGTGTCGTGTAAACCACAACTTTAAAATTTTTTTAAACATGTTTATTTCTTGTTTCCTCTTGTTCTCCCTGTGATCCTTCTCTGGTACAGCCACAGTAATGTGACTTTGTCAGACATATTTGCTACTAATCAAGCTCAATGAAGTTTATTTGAAGTTGTTCAATTGTGATTTTGTCTAATGGCATCATGCTCTCTATAAATGGCCTCCCTTTAGTTTTCTCTTGCCTTTTGTCTTTTGCCTCCCAACATCAATAGAATTGACCCCTTGTAGTCAATGTTAAGTTTAACCACGGGTGAATCTTTACTGTGTTCATTATAATGTTTTTGGGTACTGAGACATTGAAACGTTAGGAATAATAGAATCAAAAACAGCTACAAGCAACTTCTCATATAGTTAGAGTATCTCTTTGACAAATCTAATTACCACTTATTATCTACAGTAAATTTTGATAGTCATTGCTTACTTTCATAGCTTGAAGATCCATGTTGAGAGACTGACCTACTAATATTGCATCAGCAGGAAGAATGGCTCTAATGTCATCTTGGACGTCTTCCAAAGTTTTCGTAACATTGACAAGCATGTTCTTTGTAATTCCAGAGTACTGCGTCAGGTAGTTGATTATTTTGTTAGTAGGTTTTACTAAGGAATCATAAATGACCTAGAAAATTAAATAGAATGTAAGGCAAAGAAATAAAGGAAAAGCTATTGTACCATTTCATCAGGGTGATCAGCAATAGGAGCATTGTTAATTTGAGAGTACAGATATCCTAAAAAAGTTTTACTTATAAAGTAGATTGGAAAAGCCGCATTTGAAATTTGTTTCCATGGAAAGTAAGTAATAAAAAATATTATTAAAGACAAAAAGGGGAAATTTTAAAGTTGATTAATGAGAACAAGATTTAGTGAAATCGTTGGTGAAACATGAAAGTGTTAAAATGTCTTACTTGTAACAGAGGAAAATATTGTGTCAGTCTATGTTAGACTACACAGCGGCTATTTTTTGTTGGTTATTGACATATGAAACATTGAATGTACCGCTGTACTTTTTGTAAAATATTAAATTGTCTGAATCAACTTTGTAACCTTGGAATAGAGTTACAATCCTTCACATAGGAAACGACAAAATGCATGCAACTTTACAATTGCATGAAGGCTCTAAGCAAACTTAATGAAAACTGAGTACCAACACATGCAAAACGGCAGCTTGTGTACAGATTAAAAGAATGATCGATTTGAATTTTTTTTCGCAACGGTTTAACACGATTTTGCAGCCCACTGAATATGAAGTATAAAAAACAAACAATCTCGAATAGTTCCAAAGTTAGTCATTCTTTCACAGCCTATGCTCAAGTTGGAAATGCTGTTTTTGTTGACTTCCTGTATTAACCAATCCTTTTTGGGCTCCCTTTTTTATTGTTTATTTTGCGTTCTACCGTAAAGCTTCACTGATCTCCGAAAGGTTTATTATGTAAGATCAAGAGCCCCTTAAATAAAATCATATACTCACTTCATGTTTTTCATTGACAAGGGCTATCCGTGTCAATTCTTGACCTTCAGCGGAGAGACACATTTCACAATCTAAACCAAACAATGGAGAGTGCGCTGTGACCTCACTGTACGTATCTTTTGTGAATTTAAAATCTGAGTACCTGGAGGAAGGGTGAAGAGGTTACTAACGAAGTTTGCATTAAATATTAAAATGTCAGTGTTTAGACTGATGAAAATTACTCAACATGCCAACAGTTAACAGATCTCCAACTTGGTGTGTACAATTTGGAAAAATGTATTTTTCCAAGAAAGTAGGATGGAAAACAAAAAACCTATTTTTAAAATATAAATATACAAGCAGCCAAAAGTCTCCTAGCAATGTAAGCATTTTGCCATCAGTTTTCTCTCGCTCGGTTTGAGGGGGGGTAGGATGGGCTTAAACATCCAGTAAAAGTTTTTGCCAGTTTTTAATTGCTTTGCTACAATGTTGTATTTTGATAATTTTTCTGAGATTAAAATAATTTTCTTGCAAATATGAGTGGCCATTGAACAAAATTGCTGACTGCTTCACCTCTTGAATGAGCGGAAAATATTAAGTGAGGCATTTGAGTGCTCAAATTGATGTGTGCTAACTTATGTGATAGGTGCTAACTTGAAAATGCCACTTGTTTCTTCCATTATCAACCCAAAAACCAAAAAAAAGCTTTCAGATTAGAGTCGTACTATGAATGCGGTACATCAGAGAGGAAGAGTCACAGAATTTCACTTGAGGAACTTCAATATCGTTGACTTAAAATCCTGAACTGTTGCACAGACTTGAATTGAATGTACTTAAATCAAGAGGAACTATCTCTCTAAATTCGTGAAAGACCAGACATTATTGCTTACTTGAGGGCAAGTTCTCCAGGCAGCGGTAGCGGGTAGTTTTCATCAAGCATTTGATGTGGTGACAACAAAAGTGACACTCGAGAGAATTTATCGGTCGCAGGTAAAGGAGTTTCACAAATTGACAAAGTTGAATCCATTTTTTCATCCTGTTGACTCGATTCATTTGGCACGGAGGATTCTTTTAAATAATTTTCAAAGAGGTCGATAGGGAATGCTGACTTGAGTTTCTTGTGCTCTGCGACAGAGTCTGCCGAATTCATGAAGGTTATTTTTCCAAAACCTAAAATCAATAAAAGGCTCTACAGGATAGGTTGACATATATTAAATTAATAATAAATTATTCCTACAGATGTGGTGATTACTTATATCAGCTGTCTACCATTCTGGCATCAACATCTGGATATTGTCAAATTTCTCTTTGTAAAACCTTAATTTTTGAGGAAATTTATGAATATTTTTCCTTGAAATTTTCTCATGCTGTAGATTAAGGAACAAATTAAATTTTCTGACAAATTGGATGAAAAATATCCAGAGATTCCCTAGATAATTTCTATTGTGTCAGAAGAAATTTGGCAATGTCTAGAGGCTCATACGGCATATTTTCTTTGGCACAACAGCATTAAAGAAGGTGCAAAGGATTTACTTTCCAGATTCTGTTTCTTATAACATTCTAATTTTTAGGAACAGGCCAAAATCAGGATTGATTCTGACCACACATAGATTGATAGCCAATTAATAGGTAGTCCCACATTAAAATTCAATAGAATTTAGGATAAAAAACAAAATTTATTACGCTTATTCAGCCTTTCTTCCTCTTGTCGATTCAATTTGACAACTGACAACTCTGCTGCTATGTCGGATTGGTAGCCAAACGGAGAAATGAATTCAGCTTTAATTTCAAACTCCTTTGATAACGTTGGAAACTGTGACTCATTAGAGAAAAATGTATAGGATGAGGCACCTTCAACTACGAATACAATTATTTGGCTAACTTTTTGACTTCTTTCAAAATAACACCATCTGAAAATTAACAAAAGAGGTACTTAGAATCTTTAATGCGGATCCTCACTCCATTGAGAAATTTGTTGACAGGGTCAATTCAACTCATTATTCTTAAAGAAGATAACTCTTTAAAAGGGACCAGCTTAACTTAATAAATTTAATATATTTACTGAGTGGCATAAATTTTATCTATTCTTTGCAAAATTCTCTGATGATTTTCGGAACTTGCAAGGTGAACTTCCCAAGCTGCTGCCTCCGATCGGGCTGGAAAAATTTGTATGAACTCTTTGGATGAATTCATTGAACCCATGTGTATTTGTTTTTTCCAATCCGCCCTGGAAACACCCTAAAAAATTCCAATGAGTCCGATTTTGAGTGCACCTGGGCAGTGCGCTGGGAGGGCTGAGTGAGGCGAAGGAGCGCTACTTCCCCTTGCCCAGCTCTCCTGGCGTACACTGGGTGTCCGGTGCGCACTATCCACGCACGCTTAAAACTTGACTTTCTGGAACTTTTTTGGGGTGTTTCCAGGGCGCATTGGAAAACATACACACAAAAAAAATGGGTCTAATGGATTCATCCAAAGAGTTCCTACAAATTTGTTCAGCCCGATCGGAGGCGGCAGCTTGGGAAGTTCCCTTTGTTGGTCCCGAAGTTTCATGGAATCTTCTTTTTTTTGAACCATTACTCTATAAAATCAAGTCAAATAAGAATTCACCAATTTTAGCCTTGTTGTACCCAATAGATAAATACAAAATTTCAACGATCAGGCTACTGAATTACCGGAAATGATATTTGGTAAGGAATTGATAAGACTAGGCTTAAATTAAATGATTTTCGAGATGTTAATCTAATATAATTCGAACCTTGGTGGTAGGTATGGTGGATGATAGGGACCACCGAAAATTGGAAAAAACAATAGATGCTGGATATCTGCTGCAAATAACGGAATAATTTTCCCAGGCTCATTCATACTGATTGATGCTTTTTCGCCAACTTCTTTCAGCCGAAGAGTGGGTTTAGCCTGAAACAAAAAAAAATGAGGATAAAAGCTCTGTTGATTACTTCATAAATAATTGAGATGTAGCTGACTTTATTATAGCAGATGATACGAACTTAAAGTGATCTAGCGTAGAGATCGGCCCTTACATTGCGTTGCTACAATCAGTGTGTAAGCCTAAGTCTTTGAAAAGCAATGATTATTGAAATCTAAAAATTTATTTTAGAAATTGATGCATAATGTGGAGTAGCATTTATACTGAGTGTTACGCCATGAGATAATGGATTTTCATTTGACTCTCAATGGCATAGCGTTACAAATTCGTAACAACGTGTTTTCAGAGTTTTTAAAAATCGAATCTTTCCTCTGTGCTATGATTTCGCAAAATTTCATTAATTTTTTTCTTTGTTGAAAAATTGATTCCCTTAACTTTAAAACTTTGAAAAAAAATTTGGTACTCTTTTTTTTTTATGCAAGCTACAATATGGATTAGGGTCTCCTAGAATCTGAGATCCAAAATTAATTTATGCCTTAGAGGGTTAAAAATGTCCGAAAGTACTATAAACAATGTTGCTCATTGATTTAATTTGTAACAGAGAGAGACAGATATTGTAATACTATCTCTCTCCGATATATTGAGTTTATGAGCAGTGTCTGTTATGGTAATTGACAATCTGTCAACGGTTTTTTTACTTCAGTAATCGATATTTTGTTATTACTGATTGAGTTTAATCAAAACTACAACACTGATGACTCATCTAATGCCTGTAAAGTAATAGACATTTTAAGAATACAATTGTAAAAATAATAACTTCTGTGATTTTTTACCATGAGATATTTTTTTCGCTTCTTCAGATCGCTCTTTAATTGCATATATTCTTCACTTGATATATTATAAGCTGCTTGATCAATTGTATCTGAGTTTGTTTTGGAGACGGGAGTCCAAGGTCCCATTCCAGTGAAACTTGATGAAGAAACACCGGATATACTTCTGTTCTTGACAGAGGGCTCCTAAATGAAAAAATAAAACTGAATTATTAAAGCCGCTTTACAGGACTAGAGGTAGCTTTTCAGAAAGTTGATGACTTCAGTTTGCACTCCAGTTTTTTTCATGTTGCTTTAAGAGCTGAAAATGTTTGTCTGGAAAATACTTGCATTTTTTAAGAAAAAAAAACCACATATGATTAGTGATGGTAAAAAAATTACATGAATCTTAGGGCCGCCGCATTCAATTCAATGGAAATATACATATATTCCCAATAATGTCCATGGGAAACAAATTTTTTGTTCCCTTTGCTCACCCAAGTGACTTAGTCAAGTCATTTTTTTTAAAGAAACCTTGTGAAATTATTGGTTGAACTGACCTAATGGTTACTTCTCTTGATTTGTTTTGCTGATTGCAGTCAGGGGAAAAGTAGATTCTGAAGTGCAAAAAATTCAGGTACCTAGTTGTAAAAGTTGTTTCGAGTTGCAGTTGCATGGCAGCCGGTCTGGCAAGTTACATAATGTAAGCTGGGTGTGGGCAGAATCTGTGGTGGTTAAGAAAGCAGCAGCGTGGCTGTGTGCTCACCGAGAGGTTTGAAGTTGGCTGTTGCGATTTCAAGCTCAGAACTGCTGACTATTTCGTTTGGGAGCCGTACCTTGCCAGATTCGCGAACCCGCAAAAGCAGCTCGGTTCAACTGCACTTTTTAGAGCATTGCGAAAGCATTATTGCTCTACACGAACAATTTTTAAGACTTTGACACAGTCATTGTTTTCCTTATGCCAAAAACTTAGAGTAAATTTTTTTGGCAAGCCAGTGTCTCCTGAGCTTAAAAGACTCATTTTGGCATTTTTTAAATAAAAAATTACATACCAGTGAGTCTTCATTTGTTGGTTTAACAAGTTCTAGAAATGCAGCAACTTTTTGCTTCTTTTTTTCTAGACGTTTCATTTTTTTGGCTGGAATCTTAGTATCCATTTCGCCGTCGCTAGGAGGTAGACTGAATCTTTAAACAAAAGAATAAACAATTCCACATAAATGATGGAGAAAAAAAAGTATAGTGCATTGACAGACTGCGACAAAAGATTTTTAACACCTGTACAGGGTTGCCACAAAATTTAGAACATGAAATTCCCTCACATTTTCCTGACACATTTTGGTGGAATTCCCTGACAATTGAAGATGTGACAGATGATTGAGAGGGCAAAATTGAAAATAGTTTTCAGGCAAAATTTGTTGTTTGAAACCTCAAACCCTTTCTAGAGAGCAAATGAAGGTGATTTTACAAATTTTTCCTGACATTTTCGTCACCTTCCCTGACATTTCCCGGTTTTCCCTGACTTTTTAAAATTCCCTGTCATTCCCCAGTTTTCCCTGACTTTGGCAACCCTGTGTACTGAGTAATTAATGCCATACCTTCCACAAGTTCCACCACTAATGCCTGAATCACAGCTGAATTGAACAACTGAATATGGAAGTCAGCAGTCATCGCTCAACAGCTGAAATTTTGCAAATTCGAGTTACTTTCATCCAGATGTGTTTCAAAGCTATTTGAAAAGTTCAGACAAATCCAACATTACACGATGCTCGCAGGGAATCGTTGCTGAATTTTACGAGGTACGCGCAAAATTCAGACATCGGGCTGATGACTTCAAAATTCAAGCCACATTCAGCGTGTGATTGCGGCATGCATCTTCAGACAAATATTTTCCTGAAAAGACAGTCACTTCAAATTCTAGTGGAATGGTCAAAGGTCTTGAGAAAGATAGAAATGGGATTGAGACACACATTACAGCATGAATTCGAAGGAAAACAGGGTTCTGAGATGCTCTATGAAGTTAAAAGGCCAGGACTTGGGAGCAAACCTTTTTCATTCCATCTTTATTAATTCACACGTCAGATACGATTGCAAATGTGTGAGACAAAAGATGAAACAATGGGATGTGCTTTTTTTTTCGGCAAAAACACAAATGCCACAGCCTGCAGAAGGCTTGCAAATGCTTTGGGAGTGCTGATAGATCTTCAGTCCTTAATCATGTCAAAACTTAGACTCCTCGGTGGCATATTCCCTCTTTCTCCCTTGAATGTTGAATTTTTTTGCAGAAGTCGAAAGGCTAAATTCAAAGGGAGCTTTCGACACTCGGCTTCAATTCAAAGATCGGTATTTCTGAAAACTATGAACATGCGGAAGAGGTTAGGACAACTAAAACAGTGTCAGCAGGTGATTATAGGATTTACTTATTCTGTTGATTGCAGACATCGACAGAAAGGAGGAGAAAGGTTTCCTCTTGAATGCATTGAAAAGGAAGTATGAAGTTGTGCGACATTGAAGACACCGACAACAGTCTTTCGCTCAATGGGCCTTGTCGTGTTGTTCATCCTTCATTACAGTCAAGTTGAGGGTGGTGCGGAAATAACTTCTAAGGAGCACACCATTTGGTTCGACCGACACGGTTTGCATGTACTCCATTGTCAATCCTGATGTATGTAAAAAGATTTTTTAGTTCGGAGTGAATTCCACATATTATAAGCCTACAATTCTAATCGTATGAACGGACATAAGTTGATGCTTACCGTTAGATATTTTTAATTTCACCTGAACGAATGTCAAAGTTGTTCAGGAACATTACTGCACTAGTAATTTAAGATAAATTAGGAAAGTTTAACGAGATTTTAAACAGGAACAATTCCAATTTTACGCTCACATGGCACGAGTTTTCCGTTCTCCTGTTTGTTTACATGTTGCAGTGTGTCCAAAGGATAAGCTAAAAAAAATTTTTCATGAGAGCTTGATCAAAATTCTTTGCTTTTAATAAGTTAGGAAGGAAAGAATAATTAAAAACTGACAATTCTTTATTTCTAAATCAATTTTGACATCCGTCAAATTGCTTACAGTTCTCATCAAAATCTTATTCAGAATTTCAGAAGTTTTCTTTTTTCCCTCAAAAGTTCATCAAAAAGTCAACCTGTCGGCTGTCGCAGGTGGTATTGATACAGCGCTCTCTGACGAACATTCCTTGAAGCTCAGCATCTAAACTTTCAGCTTTCAGTCAGCGCTCAGCTGATTTTAATTTGGAAAGGTTCTAATGTTAGTACTGCATACTGCTTTTCTGATTTTTCCATTCTAAGTGTTTTAAAAGTAAAACTTTCAAGATCGAAGAGCTAGCTTATCAGGTGGACCAAAGGGCTAGATCCTAAGTATATGTCAACTCAAGGTTTTTCAATCGCTTCGGAGATTTCATTCCTGTCAAGTCGCACGGCATTGTCTAAAGAATTGGTATGAAATAAGTATTTTTCAATCTTCCTTTTTTATTTTTTCATCATGGCAGTAACTTCATACCATTGAATCTTGCCATAGTTTCATTGTGCACCGCGGACCAAAATGACAACCCTTCACAGCTATTGATCCCATTGGACTTAATTCCTGGTTTGTCTCCTGCCAAGAGAGAATACATCAGGACCTTATAGATTATTCAGCTATCTATGTTCCCATTACATGCTCCCTCTTTCTGATTTCTACTCAAACATTCATATCATTATCAACAAGGCCACCGCAGGGATGCCTGAAACATTGGTGGAAGGTTTGGGTCATTGACGGATCAAATTTTCCTCCAGAATCCGAAATCGACGTGATGAGCTTAGATGTTTGACCTAAACAGGTGTCAGCTCTAGCTGCCAGTGAAAATAAAGGCCTGTTTTGTCTTTTAGATCCTTAGAACCCATTGATCTGTCACGTATTTGTCAGAGAAGTATACTCAAACCATTCAATGACACCATTTTGACCCTTTCAGGCACAGTCTGTTTGGGATTCCAACTTTAACCCAATTGTTTGCCCC